CCACACGATGCAATTCCGGTACGGAATTCCGGGAACTAGGTCGAACAGGAATTCAACGGAACTCAACGGAATTACACGGAATTACACGGAATTCCGTTTAGTTCCCAGCGATTCCGTATTGACCTAATTCCGGAATCGGATCATCACGAAATGAGTAAGACAAGCTAGAATAGTGATACAACTTGTAATTCCTAGAAATTCCCAGTGACTCTGCTTTCATCTAATTCCGGAATTGGCATAGGTCCACGAGAAATTTATTTTATCCCGTTTTACTTTTCTACATAAAAGTTACAAACCTACATCCTTCTTTTACTCCTTTTACTACCTTTACTCCCTTTACTCCCTTTACTCCCTTTACTCCCTTTAGTCCCTTTAGTCCCTTTAGTCCCTTTACTCCTTTTACTCCCTTTAGTCCCTTTACTCCTTTTACTCCCTTTACTGTCCGCAGTAACTTTAAATCTCACTTAAAATTCTCTACCATGACAATTCACACGAGTGAAACTGCGGAAACAACAATGAGTTAATAGTGCATATTTGTTTTTTAAAGAAACATATGATAGTTGTGCATTGTATGTATTACATGTTAATGTATAAATAATGAGGATTATATATTCATCTCCATTGGTGAAAGTACGAGTCCAATCGTAAAAGATGTATCGACCACTGTTTTTCTTTTGTCCTTCGAGAAGTTCATTTTACAGCGAAACAATATACAATATTCCGAACTAACTATTGTTTACTTTTCTTATGTAGTCGTATTACAATGAAATAGAAGCGTATTCGCTGGGTTAGTCAGAGATCTTTTATGGAGCAATGTTTTCGCTGAAACACTTTTATTCTTTTTTGTGTAAAAATTGATCTGGTTTACGGGAGATATAAACTAAACGAACCGAGCTATGGTTCTAGAAATATGCATTAAAAGATGCATTTGTATGAGGTGTTTTTTAAATTTTCTTTAGTATTGTTTCAGATTTTGTTTGTTTGTGTCTGTTAAAATGATGTTCAGAGACAACCAAAATTGGAACTCGGTAAATGAAAAAAATATCAGCGAATGTTTGCATATAATAGATCAATATGGTTTTGAACATTTACAACTACCTAGCGATGTTCAAGATTTCATACTAGATCTTGCATCTAACCATAAATGTGACCCGAAGGTTTTATTTTATGCAATATTGTCTGGTATTGGTCATTTCTCAGAAGCAATTAATGTTTATAACATTGAGACGAAACAAGTAAAACCTATTACTGTATATGAAGTATTAATCGCGCCATCAGGTATGAAAAACCAGTGTATGTCACACCACTGTTACTGTATCGTTTAGGAGTTGAAAAATCAAAGTATATTAACATCATTTCCAACTCATGTACAAAGCTTGAAGTATATTTATATGAGAATTATTATAAACAGCAAAGATGCTTTTCATCGTCTGATGTACTCGAAGCAGCTGAAGAAGGTGATGAAAAGAAAAAAAATAATATAAAAAATTTTGAATATTGGATCAACGAGTTTGGCTCAATAAAACAGGTGTATACAACAGCGTCACTCTTACAAATGATGAGTAACAAAAGTCTATATTTTCTTGCGAACGAGGGTGATGCCATTTTACAAGAGAGTAGCTTTTACAATCCAGCTGATGTCACGGCGGACGTAAAACAAGGCACATTGATTGATTGTAAGTAAATTTTTCTTCTCTTTTCGCCACAGCATCAACATTTCTTACTTTATTTTATCTGAACTGCTACTTTTGAAAAGGTTGGGATGGAAACAAAATTGTAAAAAGCACCGTATCACACGGAAGCAAAGAAATTAAAAATCGGACAGTATCGATGTGTGTTGCTAGCACTGGACGCCGTTGGCCCGATTTACTCCGTGAACTGTCGTATGTCTAAATATTTTAATTCGTTATTCTATATGCATTTTTTAAAAATAATTGCATCGGTCTAGGAAAGTTCAAATTGCGGGTGGCCTACACGAAAGATGTACATATTTCTGTTTCGATGTAACTGGTGACATCGATCTAAATCAACTAACACCAATAACTGAAAAGCAATTTTATTCAAGTCTATACGATAATTTATTGTCTTCGGTGGTGGTAAATAATCAAGTAAAATTTTCATTGGTTCAAATTTTCTTCATTGTGAAACTATTTGGCTATCGAATATTTATATGGTCGAAGGAATCGTTTGCATTTTTACAACCTAGGTTAAATGAATTAAAATTGAATAAACCCTGCCAGTTAATTCATGAGACAACAGTCTTTCGAACAAAGCAACAAATGGCAATCAGAAGACGAAGCGCCGAACATGTCGTTCGCTATGGTTGTTTGAATCAAATGCTTACCAACGGACTAAAGATTTTAAAATCAATGGATGAAAATATAATCAAATGTTGTGGTGGAAGTATTAATGAGTTATTCGAAATCGAAGCAAGAAAACAAGTAAATAATCATTTGAAGTAAAACACTATCTATTTTTCTTCATAACTTTGTATTTCAGATAAACAAATTATTTGGTGTAGCTTTAGAACGTGAAAAAGCATTTCATGAAAATTATGTTCCAATACAACCATTAGAAGTCGATATTGAAGCAACAGAATCTGCAGTTGCTCTAGTATTTTCATTTCTATTGCCACAATCGGTATTACTATTTAACTATGAAAACTACTGTGAAACAAAGTCAAGTGAAGAACTTGTAATTGATAGTGTAAATATGAAGATGTCAAAACAAGAAAAAGTCGTTTTTCGAATAGAAAAGCTTATTATGGAGTTAAATTACAAATTTTTTTTCAAATCAAGCATAACTGATCGGTATTTTCGAGATAAACGTTTATTAGTGGATCATGTGTTGAACGATCTCGTTGGCCGTAAATTTTTATATGAAGGACATGATGATACATCGTTTTTTGACACTGGGCGTGCTTCATCAATCAAAACATACTTGAAATATTTACCCAACGATAGTGATGAAAAAAATTTCAGACAAAGTCTTAAAAACGTTTACAATATAGAATATGATGACTATAAAAAAATTTTTGAAGATGCGACATTATTACCACCCAATTGTCATTTAACATCTTATGGTCTTCAATTTATTCGTCAACCACAATATCAATCAATGATTAAAAAAGCTGGTAAATCAATTCGACTTTTTTTTTCTACCGAAAGATCAGTTGTCCATATAAATTGTTACCTATTTATAGATACGAATGTTTCGAATACATCACCAGATGGAAGTAACACAACTGACGAAAATACACCAACAAATTTTACAGGTACTAATTTTTCTTTAAATTCATGATTCTAAATTTGTTATAAAAACATTTCAATATATTTGATAATTCATTCCAGAACTATCAGAAGGTCAGCGCGAAAATAATGGTGATCAACGTGAACAATCAACAAATGATTTCAATCACATTAATCAAAACCCTGCAATAATTACTAGAAATAATTCCAGTCAACATAAAATAACAGTAGATTATAGTTTAGAAAATATTAAAGGTATGTATCTTAATTCATTTACATCAAATAAATATTATCATTGGCAATAATTATGTGCACCTGTAAACTAACTGTTTTCGAAAGTTTAGCTACCTCTCTGTTAACATGTTTTCGTCCTTTCGTAGTTTATAGATGCACAGAAACAAGTTAATGCGTCTGATAATATTTTTCTTAACATTGAATAGCATTCTGAACAATATAATGTGATCATTTCTATGTCAGATTTTGAAATAAATTATTTTTCATTTTTAGATTCTGATTATGATCAAAATATATCACCAACAGCAAATAATTATGAAGAAACACCAATCGTTTTCAATGATTCATCTAATAACTTGTCGCCAGTAGATAACGATGATACAGAGAAGTCACAGGAGAAGCAGATGTCACGAGATACAGGTGCGTAATAAAACACGTACTGATATATTCTAAAAGAGGTTGAAAAAAATGTTTTTCAATCGTTTAGAATCAATCGATAAACGAAAGTTACGAACTATGGATTCATCTTCAAAAAATAACAACAACGAAACAAGTTAAGTGATTTTTTTTCAAAATATTTCATAAATTAATGGCTTCTTTCCTCTTCAGAAACGAAAGCAGCGATAAAAAAAACGATCAAAGACAATGAAATTCTTAAAAAAATTTTACTTATTCCATCAATTTTAATAGCCAAAGGATTAATTGCATTACATATTAAATCACGAGCATCTGAAATAAACAATGGAATAAATTATCTGGTTGAAAAAGAATTGTTGAAAGTTGGTAAATATTTAATATGTGGCAACCGTCATATTGAAACTTTTTTGAAATATGTTCCGGAGAATATTGAAGATCGAACATGTAAGTATTTATTACAACGGCGTTTATTAGAAGTTGATGTCAACGTTAATGAGTATATTGAATCATTAAAATCAATAAAGATTATATCAACATCGCATCGATCATCAAGTCTATTAATGATGACATTACAAGAAGCATCTTACGATCAATTGAATATTAGTCTTGTAATGAAACGTAAAGGTATACATACGTTATGTTGGTTAATTGTAGAAAAGAATTGACTTTAATATTTACTTTCTAGGTAGATGTAAAGAAACAAGCACTCAGGAAGATGAAATATCATCAAACGATGAAGCTCGCAATCACACCAAAGAACGGAAAAAAGCTAGGAAAAATGTTGAATATGAATGATAATTAAGCCTGAACTATTGATTTGAATGAATATGTGCAATTGTTTTTCAAATCATTACTTTCTTTTATTTGCCTATTACTAAGATTCTTTTTTATGATATGTTCTTATTGTTGTTCTACTTGGTTCGTTTGCTATGATTTGAAAATAAATAAAGATATATCAGAACGCATTGAATTTGATGATTAAATAATTGTTTTTATAGGCAAATATCGTGCCTATTGTTCATTGCTTAATGCGAATAGAGTTGGAAAAGACTCACTACTAAATGTTAAATTTGTTTGATTTGTAAAAATTGTTTAGAAATGGATTTTGAATACTTTCGGATGGTATTGAATGACTTCACTATGAAAGAATTACTTATTATTAATTGGCTTGATAATAATTTGGACAAAAGTATAAATGATCGTCAATCAAAAATTTTATATTTATTACTGGAATTTTGTGATGATGACATGAAGGAGTGGACAATATTGAAAGTTGAACAAGCATTAATGGCTATTAATGAATTAGGGTTTTTGAATCGAAACGAAGAGAAAAAGTTGGATATCTGTTTGCGTACTTACTTACGGTCGGAAAAATGTTCCAACATAATTGTTACGCCATTTGTTAAAATATGTTGTGGCAGCCGATTAAATATGAGTACTGAACGCAATATAACAGTTTTTAATAACAATAATTCGTATATCGCAACAATAATGACCGGTTATTGTGAAGAATGTAAAAGGAAATATTCCCACAATTATTTTATTGAAGATAAACAGAAATTTGTTACACATGAATCTATACTTGATAGTCAAATAGTGTATCTGGGTGGCGAATATGCTTATGAAAAAACACTTATCAAGCTTTTATCAAATTCTATCTTGTATTTGCACAGTGGATTCGAAAACTTTACTAAGTGTTATAACGAAACCAAGAATTCCAATACTAATAATCTTGATTCTAATGAAGGAAATTTGTCTCCGACTCGACTACAAGACTTCTGGTTTCTGTACAATTTCGTTACTTTTTCATTTTTTTACGCCAATTCTGAGCAGTTAAAAATTCCTAGTAGCTGGTAGTAAAAATATTTAAAACTGATCTCTAACACAAGCATATACTTTCTGCTCTTTATTGTAGTGATCGTCAAGAATTAGTTGCATTGATGGATGAAAACTATGAAAACATGAATAGTTGCTTTGTAAATTTTTGGTCTCTTCATAAACGACGGCACAGTTGTGGATCTAATTGTTCAAGAGCTTTTGTATGCGATGGGTTTCAGAAACCAAGCCGCTTTATATGCAGTAATGTAAAGAAAAGTAGTTACAACGAAGAACTTGGTAAAGAGAAAATAATCGTTCTACAATTTTCGCTTATATTTATGTTTATGTGAAGGTCTTGTACAAGTTGGCTGCGGTAATCGTCCCGACTATGACGTAAAACGGAAAAAAGATGAAACTGATAATGATGAATCCATACTTCTACCCACTAATAGCAAAGACATGAACATAAGAACGGCTTTATGTAGAGCATGCAAATCAAATCCTACACCCGAATACATTGAAGAAGAATTTATTACGAATAGCGAATGCAATATCGATCGGAATCCACGCTTCGTTAACGGAAAAGTTAGGTCTTATGGTGTCATTTACACAATGTACAATTGTGGTATTGTTGTAGATTTCTTAGAAATCAACTTGTCCGAACAAGTATATGTGACTTTATTGCATTGGATGAACATGTTAAGAAAAATAAAGGATTTATCCGCAATACCAAGAATATTTATATACGATAACGCGTGTAGTGTTTGGATTTATTTTAAAAAACGTCTTCACGAGAACAAAACAATAGTTCCGACAGAATTAGCCTTGTTCCTCGATTCTTGCGACTTATACATAGATCGCCTACATCAAAAAACACATACTCGTCCAATGTGTCTCAAAGATCGAAATATCAACACAAGGCCAGATTTAGCTGATGTCAATACTGTAATATGCGAACAAACTAATTCATGGTTAAAACAGTACTTAAATATGTTATGCAAATTTTCGGGAGAACGCTCGAAGTTTTACTATTTATTTCTGTTTCATCTTTTAAACTGTAAACGGTCCTCTTTTGATCCAGAAAAACATTTTAACATGAAAACGTTTTAAAAATAAAAATATTTTGTTCATTATTGGTGCAGCTTTCCACTTTCAGGAGAACGAATAAAGGGAGTAAAAGGAGTAAAGGGAGTAAAGGGAGTAAAAGGACTAAAGGGAGTAAAGGGAGTAAAGGGAGTAAAAGGAGTAAAGGGAGTAAAAGGAGTAAAACGACTAAAAGGAGTAAAGGGAGTAAAGGGACTAAAGGGACTAAAGGGAGTAAAAGGAGTAAAAGGAGTAAAAGGAGTAAAGGGAGTTCAATATATGTATAGTTTGGTAAAACGGGATAAAATAAATTTCTCGTGGACCCCTCAAATTTTCTACTAGATTTCTATAAGATCCTATGCGTAACTCGATATCACTATAACTAACATATTTTCTAGAGGTTGCCATTGCGTAAAATTTCTTTTGA